ATGAACGGGTTTAAGAGTTTTTAAGAGTTTTAAGAGTTTTAGCGAAATGCTTTATAAGATAGTATAGATTATATATACTATGAAAAATATTTTTAATATTTACGATTTATACTTTTATAGTTATTTATTTATATATATACTATATATTTTGAGGTTAGGCTGTCCAAATTGCACTGTAAAATATTTTCTTGGGTTTTTTTGAAAAAAAAAAAATATATATATATATATATACATGTATTAATTCAACCTTAATCTGAGTTTCTGAACAAGAAAGAGGGTAAGCAGTTGAAATTTAATTCTAAAACCCTTTTTTTTTGTCTTTTCATGGCTTATGATCTGTCAAATTTATAGTTTTCTTTATTGGTTTTGAGTGTTTATCTTAAAACTCAAGTTTCTTAGTTATTTGCTCTTGTTGTAAATCGAATACATTTGTGAAGTCGTTTAAATATATTGGATTTTAAACTGTCATATAATTTTTTTCATCGATAGTCTGTAATTAGAACCATAACTCTTATTTATTCAAATTATATTAATATGTAAAGACCAAGTGTAACTTATATCATCGTTAAATCTTATCTTATAAAACCAATAGAACTTCAAAATCGTTAAAATTCATGGTTCCCGTTGTATTGCACAGGTATACAACTAGTTGTATTATAAAAACAAAAATGCAACCATTTACGCATCCTCTTTTATCTATAACTTTTATAAATGGACTATTCTAAAAGAAAGGTACAAACGGGTATAAGTGGACTAAATGGGTGTTAAATACACTTTTATCTATAACTTTTTCTCACATATATCAATACTAATACATATATCAATACGGATACCTACTTTTTTATATTTTCAATGCAAAAATTGACTTGATTTTGATATAAAAAAAAGTACAAACAATATTTCCAAAATAAGCAAAAGTATCACTCAATTCAACTATATATGTTGGTTTTTATTTGCATATATACCCTGATGAAATCGTCGTATATTTAAGTCGATGTAGTTATACACCATCCGCATTATTCGTGTTGATACATCAATTTAGTTAGCGATATGCATGGACGTTTGTGGGGTGCGTGTACGTTTAGCCAATAGCAGCCACGAGACCCGGCCAATGTCAACTATTTTTAATTGACCACAACTAATATCAATTAAATCATGCCAAACTTTAATTTTTTTCTCATTGAATTATGACCATATATTCTTATAGGGTTTTGTCTCCTATCATTTTGAATACGATGGCGGCCAATGTAGAGAGTTGATTAATGTCAAATATGTGTGTTGAATTCGAGATAAGGGTGCTAATAGATTGGATTCATTAGAGATACGGGTGCTAATAGATTGAATTGATCGGGTTGAAGGCATTTGAACAATCCAAATGAAAGTGCAATCTAACCCTATCCAACCTAACCCATATCCTACGAGTTGGTCGGGTTGATATTTTGGTACATTAAAGTATTCTTGTAACATTAAATATGTTGTTTTCTCAAGTTTACTCATAATCTATATTTCATCATTAACCATTTGTTATAACTTATCCATACATCTTAAATTTTAAGTATATCATATTCAATTAATTTTCTCAATTTACATATATATATATATATATATATTGTGTGTGTGTGTTCATAGTTACTGACCATATATACAAAGAAGTGATATATTGATGGAGAATAAATTGAAAATATATGTATATAAAGAGGGTACGTAATAATATAATTATCTAATATACATGTTAATAGAGATTCATAACT